TTTTGCGGGGAGCGGCGGAGTATGCGGCGGCGGCTGTACCGGCGCACCGGCGCTGTGAAAGTCCACGGCCCACCTATGCCAGAGCCAGCGGCCACACGAAGGCAGCAGCCCACAATGGCAGCGGCCCACGGGAAAAGTCCCGAATCTCCCGGTGGCCAATCCGAGCCTGCTCAAACACACACAACTGAAACCAAAATGAACGTGAATTCTGGCTTGGAGGGGGAGAGGGAGTATCCAGTAATTGGGCAGAGAGAGCTGTGCCACATTTTTCTTCCCTTCGCCACATTTTATCTCTGTGAAATGGGCTTTTCAGCTGTTGCAACACTGAAAACCAAATACAGATCTAGGCTCAACATTGAGCACGACTTGAGTGGCATATCAAGCCTGCAACCGCGTTTTGAAAGATGTGTGGTGCAAAACAGGCTCATTACAGTCACTAATAATCCAGTGATGAGACTCATGCATTCAATTGGTCATTTGCATTGCTGAATGTATTTCCTGAATGTATTGATTTGTTATTGATTTTCTCCCATTTTGAACTGATGTTATTTGTTATTGATGTTATTTGTTATTATTGAGTGATGTTATTGTTATTGATTTTATTTGTTATTATTGACTGATGTTATTTGTTATAAGATGTAGAACCTGACGTTATTTAAATACATTTGACAATTTTAAGCTTGGCCCTACCATTGATAACACAATTGCATAGTAGGCCCTTTTTCTATATTTTTGGAACTCAGCCCATTTGAGGCAAGGATTGACACCATTGCATTTTTATTTTCTCTATTTCTGAACTGTTATTTGTTATTGATGTTCTCCGTTTTTTAGCTGATGTTATTTGTTTTAGATATATTGTTATAGAACGATACATTTGACCATTTTTAAGCTTGGCCTACCATTTTATTGGAGCGATGAGGGACAGGTGGGGCTTGGAGCACTGGATTATGGGATTCTACAATTCATGATCCGTTTGGTATTTCAAGCCAAACACTTCAGAGTCATGTTTTGTATATATCTGAGACCTATAATATATTGATGAAAAACAGTATGATAGGGGACCTTTAAAATGATCGTGAGGATGATGATTGAATGATGATTAAAAATTGTTAGTGTGAGCCGGGCTGCATTTCCTAACGTCGGATGGGATGAAAAAACAAACCGATTATTTCTGTAGTTGTAGCTTTGTAAACGCCAACATGGATTAAGCCACATTATTTTGTTAAATAAAAACATGGTCATATTTTGTAAATGATTCCATGTCTCTTATTTAGCGCAGAATATGATATCAGTGACAGTGGGAACTTAAAAAATATCCGTTATCAGAGTAAATCCCCCTTGTTGTACCTCGGCAGAGAAAGAAACATTACAGCCTATTATTTAATCTTGTTTAAAAATTATCTAAATAAATGTGTGTCCCGGCCCATACATGTTTTTCAGATAAAGCCACGGCATCAACAGTAACTTCTCTACTTTACAGTATATTCACTTTTCACCTCCCGTTTTGCTTTCAACCCACCAGCTTTTATGGAGAGAATACGTTTTGTAATATTCACCAGAGGCATGTTTTCTGCTACACTTTATGCATAGAAACAACCAGCTGTCCTGTGTCTGTGTTAGAAGCAGCACCCTCTAATCAGTGGCAGCTTCCATCACTGCTCCCCCTGGTGGAAGGATGAGCCACTGCAGCTGGTTTCTATATAATTTATCGTCTGAAACGTATTCACTACGCCATGCGGGGGGGGGGGGGGGTTTCCTTTCGGCAAGGGCCGGCAAGGGCCTGCCACGGCCCCACTAAGATTGGGACGCGCAAAATTAGTGGCTACATCTGTATATATATATATCTATTAAGAGGCATTTTATGTGTTAACCTGTTAAGCCCTGAGCCTGTTTTTCAGGTCTCAGGCTCGAAAATGACATTCCCAGAACAAATGACCATATCTTCCCTTCTAAAAGGGTTAAATTAATAATCTTTTTTCTCAAAGTAATGATAAACCTGTGAGTTGGATGTAGAAAAGTCAGAATCAATATAGATGTTTTTTATTTTAAAGAAAATTCAGATTTTACATAGTAAAAAACTGTAAATTATAGTGTCCGTCCAAAATTCTTTTTTACTTATAGTGAAAACTACCCTTGGATGATGGGTTAGTAGACTAAAAGCTTTAGGAATCCAAAGTACAACATATAATAAGTACCCTGTATCAAGATTGATGCAAAACAAGTGACATTTGACCTTTTTAGAAAGATTTAGCAAAAATAAACCACTTCTGGGGTCATTTGGGTGGATTTTCCATATCTCTGGCTTCCCTTGCTCGATTTTGATGGTTGACACCTCTTTCTGACCGTTAGAGCCAATAGAATTGAAGGGGGAGTCCCCCACACACACCACTCATTGTGAAGAGAAAAGGTGGGGGCTTCGCGCATGTAATTTTCCATCAGAGTGGACCAATCTCTAGCTTTGACATCTGGAAACGGAAATAAAGCAGTTTTTAATGCTTATGGATTATCAGAAATCATTTCAAAGGGACACAGACACATTAGATTAACCTATGGATTAACTTCAGCAGCGTTTTTATTGTTTTAATGCCATTGAAGACCACTTTGGAGAGACTACAGAGCCAAGGTAAAAATGTTAGCATTTTTAGCTACCTAGCGTCACCTGTTTTGATGTCCGTTTTTGCTTATAACGTCGCAAATACGTATAATTCAGTGATAATGTCGGTGTCAATCGATTCTGTGTCACCTCACAATGTGAATCGATGTGTTGGATGTGGTGAAAAGATAAATAATAAGGTTTTGTGAGTGATTTTCGGTTGCAGTAAGGTGTTAGCATTTTTTCGCTCGTTGCTAATTCAGAGGCTCAGTGTTAGCATTGTGGGTTTTCTTTTGAAAAAAAATTAAAATGATCAGTTAGATGAGTTTCTTCCCGTTACATGGATATAAAACATTCATAGTTTTATTAAATGAACATGCCCTCAGACACTGTTTCCTGCAAGATGTTGCGGCAGTGCCCCGGTACCGGGGTCTTTCGGGCTTAACAGGTTAAAGGATATACAAAGAATGTATGCGCGCAATAAACAAACAGCCTGATTATCTTAGATTTGAGGACTTTTAAGATAATTTAAATGAGTTAGTTTGGTTCAAAATCAAATGGACAGTAAAACCAATGCCTGGAGCATTAAGATTTGAATGAATTAGTTATATTAAATATTTGATGGAATTAACGTTACCTGATACAAGACCTGTCCATGTAAGCCATATTTGAGGATGTGGTTACCCTTCAATGTGTCATAAGAGCGACTGACGGACCCATAGGAGGTCGTCTACTTAATATTAAGATCAAGGGAAGAACGCCCTTTAAAAAGATACACACACACACACACACACACACACACACACACACACACACACACACACACACACACACACACACACACACACACACACACACACACACACACACACACACACACACACACCACACACACACACACACACACACACACACACACACACACACACACACACACACACACACACACACACACACACACACACACACACACACACACACACACAGAGAGGATGTGAGGAGGAAGAGGAGGAAGAGGAGGCTATGGGGGGGAGCAGAGGTCTGGATGTGAAGCTGTGCCTAAAGATAAAGTGCAAGGCAGGGGAGGAAAAACTCTACAGACCAGGGTTTCCCAAAACTACTCCCCAGCTAGCAACGAAGCTAAACATAAATAGTTTTAGTTGCTATAAAGATAAAAGAACGTTTATCCCTTTGTAACTCAGGAACGTGTCTTGTCACAGATAGCAAATGTGCAGACATGTTATTCACATCAACTTGTTTACCAGTCACCAAAACAGGAAAAGAGAACAATTCTTAGACCAATGGAATGATACATGAATGTCAAGCATTTTTCACGAGCTGGTTATCAAATCTTGGGTGTTAGCACCTGAACACACAAATGAAGTCTGTTTTTATATAGGCAAACATGTGCATAGATATTTGCATAGATTTACAACAACCGCTGAAAAAGATGCTTTGAAGAAATGGAAAAATATGTACCATTAAAACTAAACTATCTACTATTTTGAGTTACATCATCCCACAGGTATTAATGTTGACAAAAATGTTTTGTTTGACTTGTGTTATGTTATGAACCTTAGAAGCTGCAGCCTGGTCGTGCAAACAGATGAGGTTTATCCGGAGAGTCAGCCTCTGTCACTGTGACACTCCTCACTGTTCTCTCTGTGCAGTGTGAGAACCGAGTCACACCCGCTTCACCGTGTCCATCCACCACCAAACAACCATAGGGAGGTCATTAACTCTGTGTGAGGGTGGTTGTGTGTGATCCAAAATAGTTTTTATACATTTCAGAAACAGACCTACCAGTCTGGTCAAACAATTCTGTTCAGAGTGTATATTTCAACAAGAATATGATGGCTTCTCATGGGTTTTGTACAGACATTTATAGTCCCCACAGAAAGAATCCAAAAGACTTATTTTTTCCTCTGGTCCACAGTTGGACAAACGCCTCACTGGGAACTACTTCTATCTCTGCAACAGCATAAAAGATCACACAATATCTATGATATAATGACCTGTCTCTGCAAATGACAGTGTCAAACAACATCACACCCTCACATTGAGAAGGACTTAGCACATAATTGGCACTTTACTTTTAAAATGTGCTTTTGAAACTGATAATCAATACTAGGGATGCACCGATTTAAAAAATGGTTGAGCGAGCGTACTGTCTGGAAGTTTCCCGGCAGTAGCAGCGGTATAACAAAGTCAGAAATATAAACAACGGCCTCCCAAGATCATTGAATGTTGGATTTCATTTACCAATCTTGCAGACACCCGCTGCACCTCCTCCGCAGCAGAGGCTCCTCAGAGGAGAGGAGACTTTGTATACCGTATGAATGTGAGAAGAGACAGACAGGATAAAGACGCAGCAGCAGGTGGAGGAGGATGTAGGTTCTGTTATTACCTGGTAATCAAGGATGCTGAAGCCGAGGCCTTTGTCTCTCTCCTTCTGCAGCTCCAACACCTGCACATCTGGAGACCACTGGGCAAGCTCCCCTTCATCTTCATCTTCATCTTGCTCCTCCTCCTCCTCCTCCTCCTCCTCCTGGCTGTGTTGAGTCTCCATCAGCTCCTCTTCTCCAGGGGATTCCTGCTCATGATACACAGTGACAACGGACACTTGAAACTACTATTGAAATATTTTAAAGAAATAAAGTAAAGTAAAAATACTAAGTCATTTCAGAGTAGTAATTGTAGTATAGTTATTACTAGAGTGATTATATGATTCTGATGTAGAAGTATTAAGTAAAATGTTAATAAAGGTATATGCAATATTGCACACAGTTGCATCCAAATAAGATGACAACAATATATCAAATTATACGAAGATAAAATAAAATCATACATCAATAATGTCAGAGAAGTGTGTAATAGTCCCTCTAACAATAAATGTTTTTATTTCAATGTCAAAATCTAATTCTCAAATTCATCCAAAACCATTCAGTTTTACAATGATCATGTCTTTGTCCTCCAGCTGGGACTGCCAAACGTCAGGCCCCAAAAATAAGTTCAACTATATATTTCTAGAAGTTTAGAAGGCATCTTGCATGTGCAGTAAAACACTGGAGACACAGTGAGACTGAGTGAGACACGGTGAGAGATAGTGAGACAGAGTGAGACACGGTGAGAGATAGTGAGACACGGTAAGAGACAGTGAGATACAGAGATAAAGTCATATACAGTAAGACACAATGATATAGAGTGAGACACAGTGAGACAGAGGGAGAAACTGTGAGACACAATGATACAGAGTGAGAAAGAGTGAGGCAGAGTGATCCACAGTGAGGGAGTGAAAAATGAGAGTGAGAAACACAGTGAGACAGAGTGAGAGAGTGAGACACTGTAAGACAGAGAGAGACATTGGGACAAAGTGAGACAGAGTGAGACTCAGTGAGAGTGAGACACAGTGAACAAGAGTGAGACTGAATGAGACAGAGTGAGAGAGTGAAACACAGTGAGACAGTGAAACACAGTGAGACAGAGTGAAACACAGTGAGACACTGTAGGACAGAATGAGACGCAATTGGAGAGAGTGAGACCGAATGAAACAGAGTGAGACACAATAGGACAAAGTGAGACGGACTTGTGAGACAGAGGGAGAAACTGTGAGACACATTGATACAGAGTGAGGCAGAGTGATACACATTGATACAGAGTGAGAAAGAGTGAGACACAGTTAGGCAGAGTGATTCACAGTGACACACATTGAGACAAAGTGAGAGAGTGAAAAATGAGAGTGAGAAACAGAAACACAGTGAGACAGAGTGAGACACTGTAAGACAGAGTGAGACACATTGGGACGGAGTGAGACAGAGTGAGACTCAGTGAGAAAGAGAGAGACTGAATGAGACAGGGTGAGAGAGTGAGACACAGTGAGAAAGAGTGAGAGAGTTAAACACAGTGAGACAGAGTGAAAAACAATTGGAGAGAGTGAGACAGAATTAAACAGAGTGAGACACAATAGGACAGAGTGAGAGAGTGGAACATAGTGAGACACAGGGAGATAGAGTGAGACACTATGGAACAGAGTCCCATTGAGTGAAATTTAGTGAGAGTGAGACACAGGGGGACAGAGAGAGACAGGGAAACAGAGTGAGACAGAATGAGACACAGTGAGACACAGGGGGACAGCATGAGACACAGGGAGAGAGAGTGAGACACATTGAGACAGGTCACCTGTTTAAGTGCTTGCTCCTGCACAGTGGCGCTTTGTCTCTTCTCTGTCTGAGTGCAGAGCATGGACGACAGCTTCAGCTCAATCTGAAATAAAAAGCAGCAACGTCAAATTTAGAATTCACCCATTTTATATATTATAAACTGCAGCAAAACAATATGTTCATGTGTTTGCAACACAGTTATTATGTCAGAATAATCACAATATTGAATGTGTGTGTCCCTTGTTGCTCTTCAGAATCAGAATACCTTTATTAGTCCCACAGAGGGGAAATGTACGTTGTTACAGCAGAAAAAGAGCCAAAGACAGCTTAATGTTACTTATAAGCATGCATAAAAAAGTATTAAAGTAAAAGTTATAATATAATAAAAAATGAAAAGTTACACAATTTACAAAATACACATCCTGTAACAGCCAGGTATATATTGCACAGTTATTAACGGCATATATATATATATATTGCACATATAGCACATATTGCACATAGTTGGTTGGTATGTAACAGCAAGGGGTGTTATAGTCTGTGTTGTGTGTGTGTGTGTGGAGGGGGGGGGGTCTACTACTTACCTCATCCACACTGGGTTTTGACTGTCTCATTGGTCCAGGTTGTAGTACGGGATCAGATCCTGGCTCAGATTCAGATTCAGATTCTGGTCCCAGTTCGGAGGTCGGGTGTCGGCAGCAGACCAGAGTAAAAGGGGGCGGCACTTCTTTGAGGAATGCAACCACTTCACGACGAGACTTACCGTACAGCTGAACATCATTCACCTACACACAATACAAACACCAGCTTACATAACCTTTACTTCAACATGAATCAAGATGGCCAACTCGTTCTGAGAATAGCCTTTTTGGCAATATCTCCAAGCCTAAAGGTCATCCATACATTGAAAGAGAGGTCGTTTTATATGGTTTGCTTTAATTAATCAAGGCAGTAAATAACATGAGTTTTAAAAGCTATAAAGAGCTAGGTGACATCAGGGGGGTATACTAAGAAGCAAGTTTAACAGAGCCATGGTTTTGTAAAATCTAAACTCCTCATCAGAGATAAGGGATCCTATCAAGGTGGTTATCAACTGTCATTGTGAACCCTGGCTTTCCTCCTCAGGCTCTGAGCACGCTCATGGGAGGCATTTGGTGCATCATTTGATGCATCAAAGGGAACCATCACTGCAAAGCAACCTGTTGCTGAACATATTAGAGGAATACAGGAGGATATCTACTGTAGCTAGTATTTGTGTAAATTCACACAAAATATATTGAATTTACCAAATGATGCAGTCTGTGCCTCCCGTCTCTGTTCATAACTTGAAAACCACCCATTTTAGCTCTTAAAATAGAACATATTCCAATGTGGTAAAATGATGGTTTCAAAGAATTAAACCACTTTCTGTATTCACGTGAAATTCATACTGATGAATATTAAAAAGTGAAACATTAAGCCACATGCACATTTTTTGTTTTTTTAAAGTCAGTGGGCAAATGGCAAGAAAATACTAAAGGACATATTATATAAATAATATAAAACAAAATACACACAACTAAATATGAACATTTTTCCAAATATCATCTAAAATAAGAACATCAAATGTTATGTATTTTACTTCAGATGTTCTGCTTCAATAATATAGGCTGCTGCAGAAAAGATAAATGCATGTATGTGCTACTGCAGCATTAATGTAAAGGTACTGCTACACACGTTTACATATAGAAAGTATGCCCGCAGCTAAGAATCTGAACAGCTCCTAGACTGACTATAAAGTGACAATATTCTATACAAGGAAGAAGTTAGGGACAATTCCAATCGTAAACTATTAACTGAACTTGGTATGGAGCACGTTATGTCTACAGCATACATTGCCATGATGATCTAGCCAGTTTAAAAGAGAGACACTTTCTTTATACGGAAAACTCTGGAATAAGGGTCAACTAACCTCAATAACTCTGTAATCTGGCTATGTAGTACACCCCTCAGCTCAACATTCAATCAGAATTGCACTTGTTTATAGATGATGACTTCTTGTGCTGACATAAAAAGACCAAAAAACTGTGGATCCAGGGTAGAGCCGTCTGGTACTCCTTATGGAGTTTTTTATCAGCAAAGATGAAGCAATGTGTCTGTGTGCAAAAGTGCAAATGTATCCACCTCCAGAAGCTCGTCCTCTGGTCTCAAGACTCCATGTTTCTCCACAGGGCCTCCAGGGACTACTGAGGAGATGTAGTGGTGACCATCGAACGAGTCCAGCTCCACACCAAGACGCAGAGTGTGGACAGGCAACAGCTGCAAAACCATACATCATAAGGTAAAGATACAAGAAAACTACAGATAATGGAATTCAAAATTCTAACTTTACATCAGGGGCGAGACGCCTTGGACGAAATGCTATCTAGAAACCCATCCATTATTGTCTGACAACAATTACGCTTTTTTCATTTAAAATAAAACCGTTTAATGATGTCAACTTGCTGATTGTGTTACATTTTGGTCGTTGGTGTCGTTTTCAACTCCAACCTCGCATCTTAGCAGTTATGAAGTGAACTGGAGTGTAAACAATGAGGGGCAAACATAAACAAAGTTTTATTTATATATGTTTTCTATACTGGAACCCAAATCAAATTGGTTGTAGTCTAAAGAAGTGTATGTATTTCCATAATTGATTCAATGCTTAGACCAGTTAAGTGTGACAAGCTTCAGTTCAGATGTCTGAGTGTTATACACCTTAGAGGATTTTCTGTAGCTCTGCATCATCTTCAATGACAGGATCCAACTTCACCACCTGACAACACACACAAACAAAATAGTCAGTATTGAACATCCATGAAGCTGGACTGTCAGTAAAAATGTGTAATATTATGAGATCTCACCAGAACTTGGTAATTTGGTCCCAGAGCCTGCTCCCATTTAGCCCAAAGTTCTGCATCTCTAGCTACACACACACACAGAGAGAGAGAGAGAGGATTCGACGAAGGAGGAGGTGAGGAGATGGAGAGAGAGAGAGAGGACCCGAGAGAGAGGAGAGAGAGAGGAGAGAGAGAGGAGAGGAGAGAGGAGAGAGAGCGAGAGAGAGGAGAGAGAGAGAGAGAGAGAGAGAGAGGAGAGAGAGAGAGAGAGAGAGAGAGAGAGAGAGAGAGAGAGAGAGAGAGAGAGAGAGAGAGAGAGAGAGAGAGACTGTGTAAGCAATGGAACAGATGTAAAATTACTACATTACTATGCAGCCATTAAAACACAGCAGCTTCCAACAGCTCACCAACTCCAACCTAAGGTACTGTAACACAAAGCATACAAAATGTGACACAAAATAAGTTGTACTGCAGCAAAAGTACAATTGTAAGAGTAGTTGCATGTGTAGTTGCAGGAGGCTGTGGCTCAGTGAGCTAGTGAGCTGATCTTCTGATCAGGAGATCAGGGAGCACTGGTTCAATCCCCACTGCAGTCAGCATGTCGTCGTGTCCCTGGGCAAGACAGTTCACCACCTCAAAAATGTCCTTTTTAAAGTGAAGTTTGTGAAACTGATGACTGTTGTTGAAGGGTTTTTATCTGACATGACATTGAATGCATATCAGTAAAATATGTTTAACTTTCCTTATTCAATTGATCAGTTCAGACTTTTTGGGGAATTAATCATCAGCTGAGGCATCCAGAAAACTAGTACTAACAGTTCTGTGTGTAGTACTGTTACACAGCTGCGAGTACTGCAGCAGAGCAGGAAGAAAAGCCGTACTGTAGTTCTGCTGCAGTGCAAACCTTTCACTACATCCCTGCTGCAGGCTGACGGTCACCTCATTGGAATTCACCGTTAGAAGCAAAAAAAGCCAAATGACTCAAATGTAAAGTAAGCAAATTCTACTGTGGAGACTGTGTGATTTAAACACATTAACAAACACACACACACAAATGTCTCAGCAACAATACCTTCTTAGAACACAGAAGAACAAATGTGTTCTTCAGAGCAGAGTGAGGGCATTAGTTTGAAGTCAGAGCAGATTACAGATCGCCTCTTTGAGGAAAACCTTCTGTGTGAGCCTTCAGGCTGCAGGGGAAAAGTCCATTGCTGCGCTCAAGAAAAACAAGTCTATGTTTTCACAAATCTCCATGCATGTTGGAGGTATTTTGAAGCAGGTCTGGCGGTGTTACAACAACAGTCTCTGATTAAATTAGCATTGCTAACCTTTGCCTTCACAGCGCAATTAATCTGCTGCGTTTGGCTGAATAAACAGGGTAATACATCGCTGCGAGGCTGTCAGACGGCTCGGACACTTTACATCTGCTGCCAGGGAGCAGGCAGGCGGCGTGCTAAGTGTTAGCGTGGCGTTTTGGCCACTTAGCAAAGCTAATGAGGAATAAAAAGAGAGGAAATAATTCAGAGAGAAATGCTGTTAGAGGCTTGCGTTGACATGTCTGCAGATGCCACACTTAGGAAGCTTTTAAAACACTGATCTGAGTTCATTCCATGAATCCACTTCCTGTTTGAATGTAGACACATCTTTTTAAGATTCAATATTTTTTCAGAAATGTTTTATTATCTTTCAGTTTGCAATGTAAATAATTAGAACCACATTTTATTTAAAATAATCATAAATAAATTAGCCTGTAAACATGAAAAAATAAAGCCTTCAGCTGTGTTAAATCTTGGCAGAGGAGTTGGCTATAAACAGTCATTTATAAGTGTGCCAGTTAATCTACTTAACACCAAAATATATCATGTCTTTTGGCCTCAGGGGTCAAACTATTATACATCTTAATTGCCCAACATGTTTGGGATGAGTGGAATATATGAGATTGTTCAGGCTGTATATGTATACTTATTTAGTTGTTTGTGTTATCTGTGTATTACATGTAGAAAGCAATAACATTTTTGTTCAATCCATCAAGGTCTGAATCACAGTTGGAATTGTGTGTAATCCTGACTTTGCTCAATCTTTTCTGCTTTGGATTTCAAATTCTGGAAGGTTTCTCGTATTGTTAAAATAAAATAACTAATTTAGTCCTTTTCACAACTCAGGACTACATTTACCCCATGCGTAATTCTTCCACCACCTACAAATCATGAGTAACATTCAATCCATACCAATATATGAGTGGTTTGAACATAAATCAATTGGAAAAATAAATATCAAAAGCTTCTTCTTTAAGGAAGAAAGTTCAAAGATATAATTATGATCAAGTGTTTGTTAACAAGCCTGCTATTAATGTTAACCCTGGGGGGAACACTTTGGGTCCCATTTGGATGATGAGATGTGGCAAAAAATGTTTTTGAATGCAAAGAAGATTACATGTTCTAATAAATCCGATGATTATTCACAGTCTACACGTTACCCCAGCTTTTCGATGTAAATATGATCCTATGTGCTCTTCATTATGCTTCAAATGTAAAAGACATAAGCACATTTTCAAATTGCTTTGTATGCTGCACGCCTCACAATTCTCCAGAAATGGTTGGATGAAGATCCACCTGATATTTTGTTATGGTTTGAAAAACTGATGTCAATTTTGCCATTGGAGAGGTTGTCAAACGTCATAAGAGGAACTCTGGATGACTTTGTCAGGAACTGGTCCCCAATTGCATCATACATGAAAGGAATGATCCAGTGTTTAACTAGGCATAAATATAACAGAATAATTATTCACACGAGTACCGCACAAGGTTGTTAGTGCTGCCGTTTTTTCATTTTGTCGGTTTTACTATGTTATGTCTTAAATCTTTTCCTATTGTCTCACCTTGTAACTGCTGAAAAAAATAAATATTGAAAAACAAAACCTGCTCCTCCTCAGAGGATGAACCTTTAGGAAATGTTTATTTGCTTGCTATGATTATTTCTGTATGTTAAATAAGCTAGATCATTAGTGTATTTCTTTTTGTTATTCAGAGGAAACATACAAAACAACTGATGAAAATAAGTGTACCCATTATCATTCAAAATATAATAATTGCGGTAAAAACCATTAGGGGATTACTTGTGCCAGCAGTGTGCATGTACCCCTTGTTTGTTGTGCTGTGTTTGGGTACGTTCTTTCCACATTTGGTGCTGTAAAGCCAAACGCAGACTAATCATTACTCTTTGTAGATTATAGGAGCTATGGCAATGACCAAAATATAAGAATTTGAAAACTCAGCTTCTCGGAGTTCTCAGTTTTTTTAGTAATTCAATAAAAAAAATAGGTCTGAAGGAGATAAGAGCTCTAAATTGCTCTTCTGTTTCTAAAAATCACTTGTTCCTCTCTGGCCTGGAGGCTGACCAGAGCAGAACAAAAAAATGGCCCTGAACGGGGCAAATTAATCTTTGTGGATGCTAGAGGAGGAATCGCTAGCTTTCTGCAGAGACTTTGGGAAAATTACACCTAGTTGTAAACACATGTTTCATCTTAATCTGTTTGACAGGACAAAGACTTCAGACAGGTAATAGGAAGAAAAGCTCAAAATTAACTTCTCCCACAGGAGCAGATTACTGATTTAATAGAATATAATCATGGAGTCAGTGGGAAATAAAATCCACAGAGCCCTTGTACCATTTGAGCCCGATTTTCACTATTAAAGATCCATTGTAAGTGTACACAACTGAAAAAAGATAAGTATTTCAAAAGAAAAATGAAAATATCTTAAATTGCCACATGATAGCTTTTTTATAAAATATTTTCCTATTTTTTCCATTTTCTTTTCTCTTCTCCGTTTTATACCATACTAACCATTGTAGCCATACAGCAGGAAACAGTTAATATACTTTTAATTACTTGAGCAATTCTGAATTGTATTACTCTCATAATAAAGATAAACTCAGGATTGAAATACTTAATTGTCTGATTTATTTGCTACAGTATGTGTTGCATTATGGGACATGCTCTTAAAAACAGAGCAATTTGCTGCTATTACAGTCAGTGTTATATTCAGTCATCTCTCCATGTTACAGTTTGGCTGAAGAAAATGAAGAAGTCAAATGCCCTTTTTTGCCAGACATTTTAACTTGTTATGGCAGGTGAAAAAGCACAGGTGAAACTACCCACATTTACCATGTCTCTGTCTCAAGAGGCCTCTCTCCAGCCTTTGTTCAACTGCAATGCTTTTGACTTGCCTTGACATATCAATATGTCGTGAAAAAAAAAAAGTCTATTGGAGCCCTCAGTGTCTGTCTATTTGCATCTATTTGTCCATCCATCTACCTTTATCCAGGGATCTCTCCAGGGTTATGGGTTTCTTCCTGACCACACTGAGCAGCACAGTTTGACCCGTCTTCTTCATCACCTCCAGAACTTCCTGATTGTTCATACCATGGAGACTGACGCCATTCAACTGTTGCGACACACAAGAGGACAGAGAGAAAGAAAAGTAGAGACAGAGACAGGGAAAGGAGTGATAACATATGCCAGATCAGGTTGATCTGTAATCTCTCTATAGTCGTTACATGTTAAATGAGATGGACAGAGAACCTCTTGTCCAGATTAAAAAGTTTGACCTATTTAATAATAATATTTTGGATGAAATCTTTCTCTTACAGCGAGCAGGCGGTCGTGGACTTGGATGTTTCCGCTTTGATCTGCAGCACTACCAGGAACCACATGTTTCACAAAAACACCAACTGCGTCTGAACAGGGAGGGGAGAAGGAGACAGAGAGGAGAGAGAGTTTACATTTTATTGGACCAATAAAAACAGAGCAGCACAATAAGGAAAATATGCAACGCTTCATAAACCTGTTTCATAAAAGGATAAACAACACCACTCCAGATTTTGTGGGCTACAAGTTGAGACTGTGAAATGTAACAGACTGTGTTGAATAAAACAAATGTTGCATCTTCAACTTGACAAAATTCAGATCCATATGAATTCCTTCACAACGTGTAAAATGTAAAGGCCCTCAGATGTAAGTTCTTTTGAACTGTATCAGTTGATAGCAATAACAATATAAGCCATGCAATTGTGCAACTGGTTCACAGGAAACCCCCCCAAAGCCCCAACACAAAGCGGCGTACCAACCGCTGGAACTGCGACAACAGCAATGTCATCTCAAATGCCGGCAGCACGGATCAAGGTTTACTGTAAATCTGTGACCTCATCCGTACCCAGACATCTACCCGCTCTCTACGCTCCAGCCACGCTCCTCTTTTTTACATCCCCCGCACACGTCTCCGAACAATGGGAGACCGAGCCTTCTGCTCATTCGCCCCGCGCCTCTGGAAGTCCCTTCCAGGTCAGCTGAGATCTGCCCCTTCCACCGAGGTCTTCAAAACCGGCCTTAAGACCCTCTTCTTTCAGCAGGCCTTCCAATAAACTTTGAGCATGGTACACCTGGAGTACTGCCATTTTTATCGCTATCTCCGACTTTTATTTTATTTATTTATATTTAATTTTATATTTAATTTAAAAATTGTATTTAATTTTGTTTTAATTTGTATTATTATTATTTGTTTAATCTCTCAAATTGTATCAGTGTCCTTTGCTGTGAAGCGCTTCGAGATTTGTCTTGGCAGATGAGAAGCGCTATATAAATGACATTTATTATTATTATTATTAACTGCCAAAGTCTGTTCACAGTTCCTTCCAGCCGTTAGTATGCCGTTGAACAGAGTATTTTATGGAAGCGGAAGTAATACGATAATTTTTAATTCTATAAAATCATTTTCAATTACTATTTTGTATACAGTATGTGGCCCTGTAATAAGCGGGATAATGTGCAGCGAGGCAGTCATTATTGAAAAAGAAAAAACAACAACTTTACTTAACCTCTGAAATTTCCAAATTGACCAATCAGAATCGAGTATTCAACTGTGTAATAATAAAAGTTATACAGCTGCACTATTGTTGTTTTACAGTAAACGTTCTAAGGCAAGGCAAGTTTATTTATATAGCACCTTTAAACACAAGGCAATTCAAAAGGTTTAACAAAAATGAAAGATATCAAGAGCATTAAGAAATAGTGCAGCAGAAACATATTGTAAAATGCCATTTAAAAACACTCATTTAAAATCAAAGATAATCAAAGATAATTAAAGCTGCAAGCAGCGTTGAGCGGGTCTTCGACACTCGGCAGGCTGTTGTCCACACGTCGACGTGTCACGGTGTTTTCCGGACTCGGCCATTGGCAAATGTGGGAAGTTTCAGGCCGATCGGACAATAGGCGCGTTCACACCAAGTACTTTGCCGTATTTAGTGCCGGCACTCAGTGCCCCGGCACTTATTACCCCAGGGCATTTAGTACAGATCGCGTTCATACCGGAGTACTTTTCCCTGAGGGAAGATTACGCAAATGAGCCGCTGACGTCACTTCGTCTTCTTCTGCTTTGGGTTTACTGGCAGGCCGCAAACAACTTCACGGCGTATACTGCCACCCGGAGTCCCCGGCCGGAAGTCCCTGGAGTTGGGGACTGGCTTCAGTAGAAGCTGCTGGGTGTCTAATTGACATAGAGCTGTTCAGGGCCGGACCATTCACCATTATCTGAAGTCTGGTGCCGTTTGGACGATTTTCCATTGAGTTATGACAACACCGTGTTTCATGGCGAGGGATCTGTCGCCATGGCAACGGCATATGATGACACCACATAATTGACATAAAGCTATTGAGGGCCGGACCATTAGCCATCATCTGAAGTCTGGTGCTGTTTTGACCATTTTCATAGGAGTTACGACAACATCGTGTTTTTTGGCGAGGGATGCATTGCCATGGAAACGGCATATGGGGAGATCTCAGATGTCACGTAAAGCTGTTGAGGCATGGACTGGTGATATACAAGTGAAGATTTGGGGGCGAACGGACCGTGTCCATTGGAGTTACAGCGACATCGTGTTTTATGGCGAGGGATGTGTTGCCATGGTAACGCCACATTATGTAACATCATATTTGACGTAGAGCTGTTCAGGGCAGCAGTGTTAACCATCATGTGATGTTTGCGTTCTGAGCATGTCAGTTGGAGTTATGACATCATCGTGTTCCATGGCGAGGGATCGCCGAGCATAGAGCTGTTACTGCGCGAGCAATTACAATAGGGTGTTCGCCGACCTCTGGTCTCAGACCCTAATAAAACATGAACAACATAGGTACATGAATACAGTTAGAGTTACAGTGCAGTGTAAGATATGAATAGTTCAATTAAAAGCAGCGGCAAAAAGAAAAGTCTTCAGCCTGGGTTTAAAAGTAGTAAGAGTTGCAGCGAACCTGCAGGTTCCTGGTAGTTTGTTCCAGATATTTGGAGCACAATAACTGAACTTCTCCATGTTTAGTTCTGACTCTGGGGACAGAAAGCTGACCAGTCCCAGAAGACCTGAGAGTTCTGGATGGTTCATAATTTAGCAGTAGGTCAGAAATGTATTTTGGGCCTAAACCATTCAATGCTTTATAAACCAGCAGCAGTATTTTGAAATCAATTATTTGACACACAGGAAGCCAGTGTAAAGACTTCAGAACTGGACTGATCCACTTTCTTAGTGTCAGTGAGGACTCGAGCAGTAGCGTTCTGAATCAGCTGCAGCTTTCTAATGGATTTTTTAGTGAGACCTGTCAAGACACCATTACAGTAGTCCAGTCTACTGAAGATAAAAGCATTGACAAGTTTTTTCAAATCCTGCTGTGACATTAGTCTTTTAATCCTAGATATGTTCTTTAGGTGATAGTATGCTGACTTAGTAACTGTTTTAATGTGACTGTTGAAACTCAGGTCAGAGTCCATGACTACACCTAGATTTCTAGCGTTTTCTGTTGTTTTGAACATTGCAGACTGAAGCTCAGCACTGACTTGTATTCTTTCCTCCTTGGCTCCAAAACCATTACCAGAAAAGTTCAGACGCATGCAGTCATTGATTTGTTCAATGCACTTACTCAGTGTTTGAGTTAGAGCATAGTCTCCTGGTTAAATGGTTATGTACATGTGTGTGTCATCTGCATAGCTATGGTAACTTATTTTGTTGTTTTGCATTATCTGAGCCAGTGGTAGCATGTAGATGTAAAAGGTCTCCTATTATACAATTTCTAGTCATATATTATAGGTCTCAGTTATATAAAAAACATGTCTATGAAGTACTGCTCAAAATACCAAACAGATCATGCATTGTAGCATGCCTCATACCCCTCTATTTCAGCCCTGTTACTAAAGTGCTGATTTTGGGTCCGTAGCTTTAAATGTTGTGACGACCCCTGCCTTGCTATCTCCTGTTGTGTGTGTGTGGCCCTTTAATGTTCTCCCTTTTGTCTATCAGCATTGATTGAGGACACCTGGCTGCCGGTACCAGAGGATTAAAAGGCCTGAGTCAGTCCCTCGATCGTTCTCTCGGCAGAGGACCTGTTCTGGGAGAGCAGCCACCTTCGTTTATACTTTTGCCTTGCCTTTGGTGTTAGTTTTGGTCTACGTTGAGTTCTTGTTAATAAATATATTTTCCTATATATTCTTGTCCTTCCCACGCTTTTTGTTATGGCCAAGAGCCAGGCCATGACAATGTTGCCGAGCTGCTGCTGGCCACGCCCCTTTGGAGCATGCATGAGAGGTTTCTACCCAGAATCCCAGATAAATGCTGCCGTGATTAAACACCATAGGATGTTCCAAACCACATCAAGGATTATTTCTGAAACAGTATGGAGCTCAAACGCTTTTTCTCTTGCGGGTTTACCACAAGGACAGTTCCTTTTTATATCCAGCTTTTTTTACACATACTCCGAGTGTTAGCGATGCTTGCTAATGTAAACACAGACCATATTACTTCCAAAACACGTCGCACATTATTTCTGATAAAGCAACGTTTCTGATAGGGCCGTGGGCGTAGAGCAAGCCCACGTTTTAGTAATGTCGTCATGACGCAGCAAATCTGGATCAGCTCTGTTCCCCCGTTTTTAGAGATGTGGGTAAGGCGGAAAAGACAGAGGGTTTTATTTTCTGACACTTTGTGAGTCTCCTTACACACCGGGGACACATATTTATGTATGAACGACATCAAAAAGTGCATTTTGCATAATAGGTGACCTTTAAAGAGAAGATGCCCCAAGATTGAGCCACATGTCATATTTGTCAACTCAGATGTGTAGTTACCGATAGAAACAAAGTTTGTCCTGTCCTTTACGTAGGATTCAAACCAGTTTAGAACTGTTGTCCCACCCAGTTTTCTAGTCGGTCTAGTAATATGTTGTGGTCAACGTTGTCAAATGCATACAAAAAAAAAGGAAATCAAATAAAAAATAATCTACCCTATGCATAAACGAAACCTCAATCATATACCTCATTCACACCAACGCAACTCCGGTTCAAGCTCCGTGCTAGAGCTTTTCAGGTTCAGAACCGGTTCTTCGGTTTAGCTCCGGCTCTTTTCACACCGCCCAGAGTCCGACTGGTGTTGCGTCATTGCGTCATCGTTTGCGTCATGACGTAACAGTTTGCGTGCCTGCTTCATAAAGCCAAACCGCGCGGAAACCCCTCACAGCTCACACCGACAACAACAACAATGGCCGATTGTGTTGAAGCGCTACTCGTTTTGGTTTTGCTCTGCCGAAACGAAATGGAAGAAATGGGACGACTTTACTACCAACTTTACAGTCGTTACATGCTACATTCAAAACTACTTTACAATCGTAATCATCAACTTCAACGACGATTCCGATTCCCCCT